ACAAATGTTATAATAGCGTAGTAACTTTAAATTCCGCAATTTATCGCTTTTATATATAACATGCTAGTAATTAGGGTTTGTATGGAAAGATTAAAACCAATATTTAAAAAACCCTAATTCAAGACAAAAACGAGCATGAAAACAATACACTCGCACACAAGCACCACTAGGGTTATTCCACTTGGTTGCCTTATACAAAATGGCCATATTACGCATGTAAGGTATCTTAGCAAAAACAAGCAAATACAAGATCATAGTCCCTCGATGACGCTATCTAAGTTGCCTCATATGATCTTAGTCCCTAAAAAAGAATGCTAAGATACCTTGCAACATTGCTAATCATGGTTATACGATGACCCACGCCCGTCCTGTTTACATCCAAAGATATGGTTGCTTACCAAATCAATGGTAAGACATCAATGTCAAAGGAAAAGAAAATAAATAAGAAAGACTTTTGAGTAGGTAGAATGCTCCTAATTACTTGCTCAATTTCAAAATAAAACATCATTGCTATTTTCAAACACCTACACTTTCAAAACATCTTACAAATTAAAAACATTTTTAAAAGATCAAACATCTTTGTATACATTCTTATAAACAAGAATCATTACAAAGATTGCCTAAACAATGGCCTCTTTACAAAATACTTTCAAAAACCACACAAAATATAATTTCAAACAAAAAAAAGCAAGTGATCTAGCAAGTAACTAAGAGTCCATGGAAAACCATGGATGAAAAGGGTGTTAATACCTTCCCTTTCCATAATCTACCCCCCGAACTCAAGAAATAATCTCAAAGGTCTTTCCTGTGCTTTTTCACCTTTCCTTTTGGATAAAAGAAAAGTCGGTGGCAACTCTTGCTAACCGCAACATTTGCGATCAAACGTAAAACCTTCAAGTCAGTTCTCCCACCGTATCACACCATGTATGGTAACTCAGCATCTTAAAATAGAACAAAGAACATAAGTTTCAATCATTCGTTCCCAACCCGATGTTACATATCAGAGCAAAACTCCATTTATTCAACAAAAGCAAATAAACACACTTCGAAGCTATCCTCTAATGCTTTTACAAACTATTCTTGATCACATGCGCGCTACCCACGTGGAAGCAACATTCAAACAGAAAGGGTGAATAAATCATAATCATTATATAAGACATAAGGAATAGACATATTAGATATACACATAAGCAAGGCATCACACATCATCATATCTTCATGTTATACTCACACCTTCACAACTTCATAAATACACGAACACACGTCATCATACATAATATATCATCAAGCATCACAAATAAATCATTATACAATGTCACATAGAATGTTATGCAACGTCATAGACTCATGCATGTGGTACCAAAACTTCATTGTTGACTCAGTCATCGTTATATCCAAAGATCTCCATCATAGGATCGATTCTCGCTTGAAATTAGAGCACTTCACTATTGCACCCGATCCACACTATGGGATTGATGCCTTCAATGGACAATCGTCCTATCATCTTCGCTGGACCGAAGTCCTAACTCTACTGGACCGAAGTCCTAACATATGCCATAAATGTATGATGCGCAACAACATAATAAACACAACCACAACTAGTCAACATGCATTATCATTCATGATTACATCATCATAACATCATATCATCATCTATTAATCATATCATCATATAATCATCTTAATAAAACATCATATAATCATAACATTGTATAATCATCATCATAATAAAATATCATCATAATATCATCATCGTGTCATCATAATATCTAAACATCATCATATCATACAACATATCTTCATGCCATCATATTATATAAGGTATCATCATAATGTCTCATAATCATCCCCTATTCATCTTCTAATCATCTTAATAAACAAGCATCTTCGTATTCCAACATGGGGAATCTAACTTCATTCTAGATTAGGTATAGGGAATATACTTCTTATTCTTCACTTTACTCCACATAAATAAATTTCAGCGTGTTAGCCATCCAACGCTTCGAAAGACACTTCAATCCGAGCTCTAAAACTCAAGTTACGTCACTTTTAAGAAAATCCAACATGACCATTCAAAACTGGACATCATCGCCTAACGACTCACCTCCATCGGTCGGCGACGCTCCCTTCGCCACCACCAGCCCGATGATGCTTGAAGCGATGCACTCCAGAAGCGTCGCTCTTTTATGCCTTTGTCTCTACCTATTTCGCCTGGTGATGCGTCTTCGCCCGACGACACTACCTACGTCGCCCGGCGACGCTGCGCGAACATGTTTTTTTGTTGCGATTTCTTGCATAGAACCAGTCCCAAATTCTGCATTTTCACCATATTATAGGTCCTAAAACATCATTTAATCACAGGTTTTCATCATCTATCAACATCCTATAATTCTATACTCATTATACACCAATTATAAGTCATCAATCATTACCAATTCATCAATTCCTCATCAAACATCACCAAATCCTCATCTACCAAAACCTAAGGCAATCTACCATCATCTAAACCTCAAATCAAATATAATAACAATGATAAAACTCCATTACCTTAAGATTATTGCTAGAGATCAATTCCTCTTCGTGCTCTACAGGGATTCCTATGCTCTTCTTGCCTCTTTATGCCCTAGCTCTCTTTTCTCCACAATGTTCTTCCAAATTCTATCGTACAGAATAAGCGTGTAAAATCTCAAACTTTCTCCTTATATCAAACTTGCCCTCTTGGACCCCTAATAATGAACTTCCCATCATGCCCTCACTTATCCTTCACTAATGACCACAATACCCTTAATCTCTCTACATCATATATTATTTTATTAATCTTGATTAAAATGATTCTAAATAATTACTTTAATTACTCTAAAAATACACAATTGGTCAATATCACCTAATTTCCTCTATACTACTCATAGTAACCCATCACACATCATATTCATCAAATCATCACATTCAAACCTCATGTTTATCTCAATCATCATGGTACACTTCATATCCATCATAATTTCACAAATCACCATAAAGGCTCACATATAATAATCAAAACATCAAAAACTTCACATTGACTCATGTAATCATGCTAAATTAACTAATTAAATAATTAATCTAGAATTTGGGGTGTTATAGTGGAGATGCACCACATTGACCGTGTGAAACTACATTTCGACATGCACCAAGGTATCCCAATATTACAAGAGGATGTTAGACCAACGTGATCATACCATAAATGAACCAATATTGCAGGAGGATGTTAGACCGACTCTCCAATATATGAGATGGTATACATCAATTTCAACAAATTTGTTTATGTCTCAAGAGACATATTTGATTGACCCACGCACAAGAGCTGCATCATACGCCCAATAACCAACCCAACAACAATACCGACTCCAAAAACATTGTCAACCACCTAAAACCAACAACCTTACACCATCACATCCATCCAAAACCGCCAATAATTCATGCCACATACACAAACACAAAACCAAGAGTATGAACCGAACCATCACCAATATGTTGTCAACACATCTTACCACAATGTCGATGATACATATGATACATTCCCTTCCTACCATAGCACACAACAAATGCATAACCAAACATCACACCTCCGAACTACCCAACCATCACATGTCTTTCAAACATCCCAAGAACCATTGCTCCATTTCCAAAATGATTCCTCATCTCATTTCTACCAACCACCCCACCCACACGTAACCCAACCAACTAGAGCCAACTTCGACAACATGGGCACCAATCTCTTTGAAAGCACCTTAAGCTGGGGAGAAATGATCGACGAGTTGCTTGACCCGAATGTCCCGGGACCATCACATGAAGCCATATTGCCTCAAACGAGTCAGAACATACCCCATACACCTTAGAGAAATTTGAATTAGAGACCTCAAAGACAAATACGAGACCGTTATTGTCATACCGGTGGATGTTTGGGTGGAGGGGGTCGTGTAGGTAGATGGGGTCGTTGGTAAAAATATTTCCTATCATTGTATAATTTATTCATTCAAGTAATATTATTATAAAATATTTATATTTATATTTATTATTTATTTTTTAAAAGAAAAAAATTGAAAATGCAAAACAACTTAGTAATCACACTGAGTAGCTACTCCTCTTAAATAATACATGCATAAGCCACACTATATGACACTATATAAAAACATAAATTATGTAGTTTGACGTCTCCACCTACTTTTACATGTATGCACTACACACAATGACTTGATCTTTGTGTGATAATTTTTTTTGTTTGAAAAATAATTTTTTTAATGTGATTGTTTGAGAATTTTTTTTTTGAAGAAAATGGTTATTCAAAAAAATTTCGTTGTAGTTTTTTACTTATGAAAAATTGTAGGTGTCATCATTTTATTGAATGCGTTCAAAAGTTAAGTGTTGTATTCTTATCTATCATAGAAACCTCAACCAAATAGTTTGGATTCCAGTGATAAAAGACCTCCTTCGATTTCTTGATAAGAACAACACTAGGCTAATATCTATATCTCTCAACACAAGTTATGAATTATTGAGATCCCTTTCTTCTAGAAACGAGAGTACAAAAGAAAAAAAATAAAAGCACATCCTTAAGATTTTGCCTTTTCTTTTCACATAAAGCCACAAACGGCTAAGATGCGATCGTTGTTCTGACCATGCACGTGTCCCCACGAGATTCTGCCTTTTTTTTTCTTCTTTTCTGCGTGAGTGCTGATATTCTCCTTCAATCCATCCTCAAGATTTACTACACCGTTTTCCATTCTTCACATCTCTCTGCACTTCCTCGTCTCAGGTATCTATCTAACCTATAATCCTCAATTTTCTATTTGCATGATTTTTCTATCGCACGTTTGTATTTTTCCTTTGAATTTTCACTCCGATAGATGAGTAGGGTTTTGATTTGAATATCAATTTTACAAAGTCTATTTTGTATCCTGGATTTATATATGAACTCTATATGTGTAATTTCATCTGTGCAGTCTGTGGTTTTAGGAATCAAAATGAGTGGCCGGTCAAGTCGCACATTATATGTTGGCAATCTTCCTGGCGATATTCGTCTCAGAGAAGTTGAGGATCTTTTCTACAAGGTACTCATATCTGATTCCTTTGTACACAATGTAGTGCTATTAACTTCAATGCTGAAATTGAAGGGTATTTTATGCAAAGAAAACGTGAAAAATTAAGAAGCTCCAATTTTGAGCACTAGTTAGAAGCGCTTTAGTCTCTTAGACGCCGAATCAAACAAAGGCTTAAGTTATCATCCTGTTTATTATGTTTTTCGTCAAGTATTATGTACCACTTACTCCCGTAATTTGCTTTTGTGGCAATACTTGCATACACTACACACACGTGGACTCACGCAATCATGAAACATAGTTAAAGATCAGTATGTCTAGATTTCTATTTCACCAATTGTTTTCTTCGCTTTCTATATACAGTATGGTCCTATTGTTGACATTGATTTGAAGATCCCTCCTAAACCACCGGGTTATGCTTTTGTTGAGGTATGTCTATATTTCATTTTGTAAGGATGGGAAGGAGTATTACTATTTATCATGCCTTTTTTGTTATGTCTTGTGTATATTAAACATTATATTGCAGTTTGAGGATGCTCGTGATGCTGAGGATGCAATTTACTATAGAGATGGTTATGATTTTGATGGTTATCAATTACGGGTTAGAGTATTTTCCATTTCTTTTCTTTTCTTTTTCCACCTCTATAGAGCACATTATCCAGTGTTGTTATATGAAATTTTGGTCGAAATTTGTTACTGTAGGTTGAACTTGCACATGGTGGACGGTCAAGTTCATCATCAGTGGACCGATATAGTAGGCATAGCGGTAGAAGTGGTAGCCATGGAGTTTCCAGACGATCTGACTATCGTGGTATCTATTGTTTCATAATATAGTTAAAAATGTAGTTTTTGGCTTTTTATCACTGTACAATAGTTTTTCTCTCTTTTTTTGTCTCAAGTCTTATTTGCACCTAAAAATGTTCTGGTTGACCATATTTATGGTCTTTGCAGTTCTGGTGACTGGATTACCTCCTTCTGCTTCATGGCAAGACCTGAAAGTATGGACATGTGGATGATTCCTATGATCATTTCAAAAGATTTTGCATAGAGGGGGATTGATGACATTTTACCTTGAAATCATTGTTGTATTGTTTAAAAATTATTCAATAATATTTGCTGATTCTGGGTTCTAAATGATTAGGATCATATGCGTAAAGCTGGTGATGTGTGTTTTTCTCAAGTATTCCGGGAGCGTGGAGGTAAGTCGATTAATTTATGATGTATTTTGGAGTGAGATTTGTGTTTAAAAAATGTTTATTTAGATTAGAGAAAATATAAATGTGGCACTGCATGCAAAGTGAGGGAATAAAAAATGCAGGGATTTGACGATAAGCTTTTCTTTGAATACAAAATAAGCTAATAAAGAATGTTGAGGTTTTTATTTTGGTAGTCATTTTTTACTTATAATCGTAGTCTCAAATGTGTTAATGTGAGATGTTGTCATATTTGGGATACAATAATTCTAGGAAACAGTGCCATTAAGTCTACTCTTTTTTGGGGTGATTTACTTTTTTATTTTATTTTAATTCTCAACATATAATTCTCAAACATGTAATTTGTATGCAGGCTTAATTGGGATAGTGGATTATACCAATTATGATGATGTGAAATATGCTGTAAGTATTCTTAGCCTGTATCAACAAAGAGTTATCGGGTTTAATATCTTACTTGCCTGTCATTGAGCTGGATTTTCTGCGGTTGGCATTTTGACTAGCACTACTATTATGTTTCAATTACTTTGTGTTATCATACAGATCAGGAAACTTGATGACTCTGAATTTCGAAATGCATTTTCTCGGGCATACATACGAGTGAGTGGATGTTATATTTGACTACATTCTGCATTCTATTTATGTACTTACTCTCCTTGACATATATCTCTGGTTGGCCCAGGTGAGGGAATATGATCGTAGTTATTCTAGAAGTCCTAGTCGTGATTCAAGGAGGAGCTATTCTCGAAGCCGCAGCCCATATGAATCACGCAGTCGAAGCCGCAGTCTAAGTCATAGCTACAGTGACAGGAGCAGAAGGTTCATTTTGGTTGCACTGATCAAGTATGATTTGATATGTATTTTAGTAAACTTAAAGAATTGATCAAGTGTTGATTTTTGCAGTTTGTCTCCAAAAGCAAGACAATCTCGGCGCTCGTTATCTCTTTCGAGGTCAGTTTCTGCCCAGTCTTGATATGTATGCAACTTTTTGCTGTCTGATTTGAACTGTATAGGTTTTTTAGTTTTAACGCTTCTGCATAATTGGTAAAATTGAGTTTCTTTAAAATATGGTCATCTAATAAGTGTATCATGTGATTATACTTGGAATATACATCTTAGATTGGTGGTATCATATGGTCAATTGAAAACATAAAACTCGTCTTACACCATGGCTTGTCTAAATTTAATGCTTGATGGTGGTTCCCATGATGGATCCAAATAACTTGATATGTGGAAACGTGGACGGGTGTTAATAAAGTGGTTATCAGCTTGGCCGCTGAATATAAAATGTTCACTAGGGTTGACTCTCTTGTTTTCTAGATGTAGCCTTTTGCGGCGACCTGGGAACTGCATGTTAGGATCTTGATGGCATGTGGTGCTCAAACGCCTGCAACTTTGTGGTATGAGGTAATGATGTTTTGTTGATGAGCACCTCTGGAACACCTTAATGTTTGTGACTAACAATAACACTAATGTTGAATTGATTAAAGACATGGTGACATGGTCTTCCATTGTTGTAGACTTGATGACGCTAGATGGATGAGTTGCAATCTAAAAGCTGGATCACTGTGAACATAATACTATTCGTAACAACAATTGCAAATCAGCAGTGATACAGTTCAAAAACTACAAATAACCTATGCTCTAAGTTTTGGGTTGAGGTTATCTTTCTCTTTAGGGTTTCTTTTGTTGTCCTATATTGAGTTGGTTATATCTTACCAACAATTGGTTCTTGGTATCATGTACCGTTCACTATAGAATTTTAACGCTTATGCTTGACATACTTCAATTACTTTCCCCCTCGACTCTGCTCATCTGGTAGAATGATTTCATCCTTTTGGTTACACCAACTTTGATGTGGAATTTGGACTTGTGGAGCAAGTCATCAAACTTTTCATATCACATTCTGGATATTAAATTGAGTTTTGTTCGTTTGAATATTTGCAGATCCCTTACGAGATCCAGATCCCCAAGCTCGTCGGTAAGTTTTATCTAAATTGAATAGTTTGAGATTATTTAGAAAAGGAAAATGGAGTGACAATTGCAGTTGTATTAAGATTTTCTTTACATTTGCATGATCTTGCCCTACAATACTCAGAATTAACCTGCATTGCTCTAAATAACCCAAAACCAGTTCTAACTTTTATTCCATTGTTTTATGTGCAATGCAGCCTAGACATTACCAGAGTCGCAGTCCTAGCCAAAGTTCAAGGAGCATGTAACAATCTCGTCTGGCTTATAAGTATGTTAATTGTCTTCAAACTCGTAATCATTCTTGTATTCTCGTAGTTTATCATAAATTTACTACTATCTCTATTTATTTTGAAGTTTCTTGATCTTCTGATGATAGATCATATATCTGATTGACAGGTGAGATCTGAATGTGTTGGGAGACCACTACTGGACATGCATTTTCATTCCGTGCTAAGGTCCAATATACTATAGCTCTATTATTACAGCTCATTCTAGTATTGTATTTGAATCTTAAATTTGACAGGTGAGAGACTGAAACCTTTTGTGCATTTAAATTTGAAGTTGGCGATTAGAACAAATTGAGATGATATTGTACTAATCTGGGCGTTTAGTAGGTTAAACCTTGTCATATTGGATTGGCTAGTTGTTATCTTCTGGTGATATTCATGCTCGATTTTTACAACAGATTTGCGTTGGTTTTTTTTCTTTTTTTCTCTCAACATCTTTCAACCAAATAAAGTATATGTTTTATTAAAAAAAAACAGATGTAGAGACCAGCGTATGTTGATTCTGATATGGAAAAAGTTCAACTCTTATATATATATATATATATATATATATATATATATATATATATATATATATATATATATATATATATATATATATATATATATATATATATATATATATATATATATATATATATATATATATATATATATATATATATATATATATATATATATATATATATATATATATATATATATATATATATATATATATATATATATATATATATATATATATATATATTATAATATATATATATATATATATATATATATATATATATATATATATATATATATATATATATATATATATATATATATATATATATATATATATATATATATATATATATATATATATATATATATATATATATATATATATATATATATATATATATATATATATATATATATATATATATATATATATATATATATATATATATATATATATATATATATATATATATACATTACTATTTTATGCATTGTGATGTTTTATGCGATGTTATTGTTATCATTGTTGGTTATGTGTAAATTCTAAATTGGATTTTTTTAGTAGTTAGTTTTTAAATAGGATTAGGATGATATGTATTGTTTATTTATATTGATACTTTTTATTGTACTTGAGTTTATTTTGTTTTTTGTTGTAATTGATCTTTATTTATTATACTTTTTGAATTGTTTGGACTCAAGACATCTTGAAGTTCTATTATACGTTGTTAAAAAAAATTCTTTATCGACCTCTTTGGTAATAATTAAAATTTTTTAAATTATGTATTAAATCAAATTGTAAAATAAAAAAATAAAAAATTGGCGGGTCGGTCCGCCTATTCGTTAGTAAACGGGCGGACTTTCGTTAGTAAACGGGCGGACTTGACTTTTGAGCTCGAACTCCTATGTTGGCCCGTCCCGTTCTGCTTCACTTTTGGACGGGTTTAAATGGGACGGACCACCTGCTTTGTCATATATATATATATATATATATATATATATATATATATATATATATATATATATATATATATATATATATATATATATATATATATATATATATATATATTAGAGCAAGTTTCAATTAAATCCAACACAATTTCGCATAAAAATCTAATAAGAAACAATACATAACATAAAATTGTAACAAAATACAATGGTGGGTTTGTTTTATGTTGGAAAAATTATGGGGAATGCTCTTTTCATTCTTATGGGTGTTCCACACTACTATGAAAAGTCCATAATATTTCTGGTGTTTGGAGATGTATTTTCAAACGCATCTATTTTTATCACATTTCTTGGATTAAATTGAAGAGACACCTCTCGTTAAAATTTAACCCAAAGATGGATCTATGTATGTATAAAATATGTGTTTGAAAATACATCTTCGTAAACACTATTTATTCAAAAAAATGTGTTGGTGATCCAGAGATGCATCTACAAATACTTTTCTTTCATAACCTGCACTCGAGTCCTTCTCTTTTCCTCCTTCATATTCTAAAAAGCTCTAAAAAAGAATATTTCATCTCTCCCAACCATTGAAGGATCTCTTCATTGCATTGAAGCATCAATGAAGCTCTTTCTCCTCTTTTCCATCATCTCATAACATCAAAATATCTCATTCTCATCAATCAATTCCATTTTGGCAAATTTTTTAAATATTATTTTATTTTTGTGTTTTGATTTGTAGTTAGTTTTTTAGGATACATTAATTGTTTTATGCACTTTAGATAGCAGTGTAAACGAACTTGATAGGTTAAAACAACATGCAATAAGTTTTTTGGAACTGTTAGGGCAGAAAATGGGTTGTTTTTATGGGAGACAATCAAAGGTTTATACGGAGATGCATATTCAGAGTTGCTCTGAACTATTTTCGAAGACGCATCTCTGAATTGGACTTAGTCAAAAAGTTGGGATATTTTGCGGATTTTGTGAATTTCTCCGAAGATGTTGTTTATATTTGTCTTTGTTTATAACACAAGTGCAATGATTGAACATTGGTTAGAATAGGCCTGGGGGTGTGTTTTAAACCGCGTTAATACAACATGATAGGACCACAAGGCCACAAGTTATTGATAACTCATTTGATGTCACATATACTTCGCAGTCTCGACCATCTAGTTCTCGTAGCCGACTCTCTCAAATATCTGAGACATATGATACAGCAGAACCTGAGGATCTTGAGGCTCTTGGTGACCCTGAAGCCCCTGAAGCTCAGGAGAAAGTTGACCCAGATGCCCTGTAAGTGTTTGCTTGTTGGCATTAATTTTTGGTAAAACCAGATTTGCGAATATCATGACTGATGTCATAACATTCTGGGATAAAGTCAAATTCTGCAGAAGGAATGTTCTACAGAAATAACTCAGTATGAGTGAATATCATGATGATTAAGCTATGATCATATATGTTGAATTCTACCAAAATCAGTGAGCAAGATACATGATGTCATAACCAATGTTAAGACATCCTGTACTGATCAAGTTGTTGTGCAAATTTATTGTTCCTGAGAATTTTCAGGAATCTGGTGTGCTACTCTGAGTTGAAGTATATTGTCCAGATCAGATGCTCACGTGGATATTAGGTTAACCTTGCTTAACCCTAATTTGTTATGATGAAAACTCAAGACCAAGTCTTTAGGTTAACTTTGGTTAACCCTAGCTATTTTTATGGAAGCCCTAAATGAAGAATAGACTGCATATATATTCCTCATGAATCCTAATGGTGAGCAGCGCTTTTGACAGAAGATCAATAAGGCATTGTATAGTTGTGATAGTTTTAGTAACTACTGTGAGCCAAGCAATTATCATTTTGATAAGTGACTTGGAGTAGGATTTGGTTGTAAGAGTTGTTTATCACTCAAAGCTTTGAAGCACGAGTGTTGTGTCTCTTGATTAAAGCTTTGAAGCAAAATCAAGTGTGTGTATTGAAGAATGTCTTCATAATCTTATTAATCAGTAGATTAGTATCACTAATGTGATTGAGGGAGAGTGAGTAGGAACTCAGGTTTAAGTAGGATTTAGATTGAAGTTGCATTGGGTAGGTCTTAAGTGAAGGAGATAAACTGATTGGTTTATTCCTAAATTAATACCTCTTATAGTGAATTTCCTCCCTGGCTTGGTAGCCCCCAGATGTAGGTGTTGTTACACACTGAACTGAGTTAACAATTGATCGTGTTCTTTACTGTCTTTTAAATTACTGTTTGGTTTGTGCACAATTTGTCAGATACGGTGTCATAACATTCACTGTGACATTAAGTATCTGTTGCCAGAATTTCAATTGGCATCAGAGTAGGCACCCTGCCTGTCTTTCTGGGTGAGATATAAGGATATTATTTTCTGGCGATATGGACAAGGAAGGAGGATTTGGGGACAGACCACCTATTCTAGATGGGTCAAACTATGACTACTGGAAATCTCGTATGATTGCCTTCTTGAAGTCACTGGACAAGAAAGCTTGGAGAGCTACTGACAAAGGATGGAACCATCCCACCATAACTGGGAAAGATGGGACGACTAGTCTGAAACCTGAGGAAGAATGGAGCAAAGAAGAAGAAGAGTTAGCCCTGGGTAACTCTAAAGCTTTGAATGCCTTGTTCAATAGAATTGATAGAAACATATTCAGACTAGTACATCAATGTGAACTGGCCAAGGATGTTTGGGACACTCTCAAAACCACCCATGAGGGTACATCTAAAGTAAAAATGTCAAGACTTCAGATGCTCACTACCAAATTTGAGAATCTAAGGATGAAGGAAGATGAGACCATTCATGAGTTTCACATGAACATCTTGGAAATTGTCAACACCTCAGGAGCATTGGGAGAAAAGATGTCAGAAGAAAAGCTGGTGAAAAAGATTCTCAGATCCTTGTCTAAAAGGTTTGCAATGAAAGTGACTGCTATAGATGAAGCTCAGGATATCTGCAACTTGAAGGTTGATGAATTCATTGGGTCACTTCAGACATTTGAGATGGGGATCAGTGACAATGTTGACAAGAAAAGCAAGAGCATAGCCCTTGTATCCAATACTGAAGATGAATGCAAGGAGAGTGATGAAGAGAATATATCAGAAGCTATAGCTATGCTTGGAGGGCAGTTCAACAAACTCATCAAGAGAATGGACCCAAAGTCAAGGTCAAATGTTAAGAACATTTCCTATGACATTAGCAGATCCTATGACTCCAGTAGAAGAACTAAGTCTGAAGAAAAGGGAAATCAAAGCAGAAGAATCCAATGCCATGGATGTGAAGGATATGGGCACATTCGAGCTGAATGTCCTACCTTTCTAAGGAAACAAAAAAAAAAGAATGTCTGTTACTTGGTTTGATGGTGACTCAGAAAGTATCTCGGAAGAAGAATATGCTAAACTAGTTACTGCACTGTCTGGTGTTTGTAACTCTGATAATGATTCTAGTGATGAGAAAGTGACATTTGAAGAACTTGTTGACTCCTACAAGAAGCTATGTATCAGAAGTGCTGAAGTCTGTCAGCAAAATGAGAAACAGAAAAAGCTCATAATAAAGTTGGAGGGTGAGAAGAAGGTAGACACTGCTACTATAAGTCATCTCGAAGGTGAAGTTCTAATGTTAAACTCCAAACTTGATCAGATGACT